TATGTCCATTCCATTCTCATGAACACAATATCTCAAGGATGCCTTGAGGGATTTTTTTTTTTTTTCAAATTTGGCACATTGTTCAATTGGACTCAGTGATGAACTGATGGGAATTTGGTGGTTGAAGGTCAAAGATCAAAGTCACTGTGACGTTACAAGACATGTTTTTGCACAAAACTCTGGCCAAGAATTCACACATTAATCATGACAAAATTTCACACAAATGTCTTAAAGGATAAAATGATTAAATAATGACCTCAGATATCCAAATGGTCTGTTGTCAACTTCACTATGACATCATAATCCTCTGCAAAAACACTTTTCTGGCCATTATTCAGGGTCATATCTCAGGAACAGAGGAGACATTTGGCCAGATGCTGAATTGGTGATACACTTCTTGGGTGCTCACCTTGAAACTGTGGTGGTTATATAGATCTTCTGTGCTGCCACGGGGAAGATGTGTGTGAAGCATACATGTTTTCACCGTCATGGATGTGAACTGTAACTGCAACTTGACTGGTGCATGGAGGCAGACAACTGCAAGGCGATCATTCTATTTTGGTGGCAATGTTGAAGTCATGCAACAGTAGTTTAGTTCATTCATAGCCTAATGTAGCTTTTTACTTCTGGCGATGGCATTTACGCATCAAAAATCATAAAAGTGGTATTCATTTGTGAAGCTTATCTCACTGAAAAAAATGTTGAAGTTTCATGGACTTGTGTTTGCAACAGAGCTTATTTTCTGCAGTAATATAAGACCCAGCTGGAAAATCACATTGACTTTTTGTGGAGGGAACCAGGGCGAGACTAACTTCCAGGCTGGCCTAGAAAAAATGTCACACCTGCAGCACTCTTTATCTGTATTTGCTTATTTGTCCTCTTGGTTTAATTTTCAGTAGCAGACTCAAAAGTCTTTTCATTCTAGTCAAACAAATGCAAAGTAGTATTTGTCTGGAAGGATGTAAATCAGTCTTAAAATGGTCTATGCTGTTGAAAGTGGTTGAGACAGAGATAAAAGGACTTAATCTAAATATGCTTAAACATGCTAAGCTATTATGTGGTCTTTTGAGTTTCATCTTTATTTTTCTTCCCTCATCAGGCCTCTGGTGTACACAGTGTCTGCCCTCCTGCCAACAGCTTACATCATTGGTCTGATGTTCACACTGAAGACGCACTCCCACATTTATGACATCCATGTTGGAGACGGACAGGGTACGAGTCTCCCTCTCAGTTAAACACAAAATTGTACCTTTCATTATTCCTCTGTGAGACAGTGAACAGTAACATGACGTCTGTGCAGTGACTGGCCACAATGGACCAGTGGTCCACTGGTCACGCTGGAGGTCTCTGGTCATCCTCATCATGGCCACTGTGCTCACGTCTGCGTGTGCTGATCTTGCAACCGAGCACATCCAGCCCATACTAAACCAGCCCAACATCTCCCAGGTCAGGACGAGCATCTGAGTCAGGTTTTATTTGGTTGATTCCTGCTGCCATGCTAACGTCTGTCTCTCTTTCTCCAGTATTTCATTGGGGTGACAATTCTCGCTATGGTTCCTGAGATCCCGGAGATTGTTAATGGGATCCAGTTTGCTCTCCAAAACAACATCAGTCTTAGGTAAATCCTGTCTTATCGAAAAGGTACTCAGTTAGATTAAAAAGTGTCGTCTGTATCTAAACGATTTGTCTTTCTTCAGCTTGGAGGTGGGGAGCTGTATGGCAGTTCAGGTCTGCATGCTGCAGATTCCAATTCTGGTCTTATTTAATGCCTTCTATGTAAGACCCCCTTTCTTCAGTCTGATCACTGATTCATTCATATAGATACCTACTGTTTGCTGTTTTATAGTCTCTGTAATCATCTCTGTTTTGGACAGGATGTGGGGTTTGTGCTGTTGTTCAGTGACTTGCACCTGTGGGCCAGTATCTTCAGTGTGATTCTCGTCAACTACATCTTCATGGACGGCAAGTCTGATTATTTTCAGGGTAAGTTTAATGTGTTTAAGATTTACTTTTTACAGTGTAATCAGTGCTAGAACGTCCTTCATTGGAAAACCTGAAATTTAGACTAAGGTAGATGCTTTTTGCACCCAGGTGTAAACAGCCAATGTGGCTTTTTAATTCAGTCAAAATAAATACATCTTTAAATTATGTTGTCTTTTGAATAATACAAAAAAAACTCTAGTAGACCAATCTTTATGTGTTGATGTGCTTCCCCCTTGTGAAATATGTCAGATCTGAAAAGGAGTAAAGCAGTCTGTAAGGTTCATACTGGTGATCCCACATGTTTGAGATCATGTATTACAGATTGCATATACTTTGCATTTCTGCTGACCAGTTTTAAAGCTCACCTCAAGTCTTCAGATTGGTTCCTTCATGTGCTTCAAAAACAAACTAGCTGAAGATCTGTGGCAGAATGACTTAGTTATATCACTTTACACTTTAATCAACATTGTGATTATAACATGTATAAAACATTATGTCATCTTACTATATAATGACGAAAACTGTCTGTCTGTCTGTGTGTCTGTTCCGCGTTCTTCTCCACACTGACTTGGTCAATCCATGTGAAATTTGGCACAGTGGTAGAGGGTCATGGGAGGATGCCAATGAAGCAATATTACATCAATTGGCCAAAGGGGGGGCGCTATAGCAACCGATTGAAATTGCAAACTTTGGGCATATCTCATGCCCCGTATGTCGTAGAGACATGAAACTTTGCACAGAGATGCCTCTCCTCATGAGGAACAAATTTGCCTCAAGAACCCATAACTTCTGGTTATATAGATTTTCCACCATTTTGAATTTTTTGAAAAACAATTAAAATCGATCTCTTCATAGGAAGTTTGACCGATCTGCATGAAACTCGGTGAACATAATCTAGGGACCAATATCTAAAGTTCCCTCTTGGCAAAAGTTGGAAAACTTACTAAAACTGAGCTTCTATAAGACAATGAATATTGCGGAGGGCGGAGCTCATCACATAAAGGTGTATAACATCTCAAGGGTTTCACTGATCACCACGCAACTTTGTAGGCATATGAACACACATAATCTGAGGGGACCCCTCCATTATTAACCCAATCAAAAAAAATGGGGGCGCTAGAGAGCTAATTTCTTATCTAGGCCTAACCGCCATATCAATTTTTACTAAACTTGGTAGATATGTAGAACAGGACGCCTCAAGGTGACTGGAGAAATTTAACTCTAATTGGCAACTGGGTGGCGCTATAACAACAGAAACATGCTTAAAAATGGGTTAATGCTTAATGGGTACAGTTGACTATTTAATCTGCAATTTCCTATAACCTCTATCCCAAACACACACCATGTGAAACTGTACGTGGGCAACTGTGCACTCAAGTGGTATGGACTAGTATATATTAAACACAAGGGCCGCTGATATTTGAGAGTCAGCTGCCCAGAGAGCGCTACTTTCATATGATATGTTGTTGGATGATTCAAACATAGAAGACAAATAATCAGCACATTAGGATGTATATGTGGTTATTTATTGTATTTGAAAGTACCTATTCAGTGGCCAACTCTTAAAGTAAAGCACCAAAGAGCCCTGGACCAGGACACTGGTTTAATAATTTACCTGGATAACTTTGCTGAATCACCTCAGCAGGTCTTTCTTTATATCAGTCGATGATCCTGACAGTGATATATGCAGAAAACTCAGTGAACCTGCCAAACATGCCACAGAAAGAGTTGTCACAACAGTCCCTGGGTACATGTGGTTTTCATTTTGATTAGATATTAACCTGAACACATTCCTTATGATGGACTACCATACAGTTAATATAGTTAGACTGTGGTTAGTTTAACAATAGCTGAATACTGAACCAGTATGAGGGTTTGACTGAACAGAATATAAGAACATGAGGGATGTTACAGCACTTAACCTTATACTATTATATTAGTACAGACATACACAGACTAAGATTACTTAAAGGGACAGTTCACCCCATCATCCCCATCATCATAAATACACATTTTTCCTCTTACACGTAGGGCTATATATATCAGTCTAGATTGTTTTGGTGTGAGTTGCAGAGTGTTGGAGATATCGGCCAAAGAGATGTCTGCCTAAATAGATAAATATTTCTGTTACTTTCTATATGTATCTGTATGCATTTCTGTCCTTGAGCTGCTGCAACAACTGAATTCCCTAGCTTGGGATTAATAAAGGTTCATCTATCTTGTTTAATTTACTGAGATGCTATTTCCTGTCTTGTTTTTTTAAACATTAATAAGACACAACATGCTCAGTCACAATTAAACCTTTAAGACTGGGTGCTGAATCCTTAATGTAAGTAATAATGAAATAAACATCAGGATGGCACTCCAATTTGAATTTTTAATATTTTAATATTGTGTCTTGTTTTTTTTGCAGGTACAGCTCTGGTGGTTGTCTACCTTATTCTGCTGGCTCTGTATTACTTTGCTCCATCTCCAGCAGGCTGCTGACTGTGTGGGACTCTGAAAGTGCGATGTCACTACCACTCTGTCGATGAGATTCATCCTGACAGGGTCACGACTGAATGATCATGTGTGAATCCTGACATGAGCCTTTTATTAAGTATTTTATTTCCCTTGCTGTTTCCTAAATTATACAAATGACTAAACTGAACATTTTAATCTCAGGTAGGTCCTTGTTGTTGCACGAATATATTACTGCTGTAAACCGTACAGTTTGTAAGCTAACATATTAACTATGTGTCCTCAGACTCATGACTTCTTATGTTCTTTGTAAACTGTGGTGAAAGAAAGAAAAACAGTATTTTTACAATACAAATTAATATTATTAAGTATCTGCACTAATGCTATTTTGTTAAAGGTACTGTTGTAATATATTTTGTATACTTTTTAACTCCAAAATGTTTCTGCTACATGTCGATATAAGTGACTTTATTTTAGATAAAACCCTGGCACTATATGTTTGGAGAATGTGGCATGGCCGGCTGTGGTTTGCAAGAGCAATAACTGTCAATACAATATTCTGAAAAACTGGCTGCTGTGTTTTTATTGTTTGTACAGACAGGAATTACAAAACATAATGTACAGTACAGCCATAATTGCTTTTGAGGAGACATTCACCTTTTCTCCCGAGAGTTCATGTAAAGTGGCATGCACACCGTACCGACATGCAAAAGAGATCTTTTTACTTTCATTAACATCAAAAATGATGCAAATATAAACATCTCAGTTTAAGCAAGGTAGTACATTTACCGAGTCCGAGCATGTAGTGAAGCTGTTGCTTCATGGTAAGATATAAATAAGGCCATAACATGTCAAACATAACACAAAGTAACTGAGGTGGAGTTTTGAATGTGAACATCAGGCATTATAATATAATAGATGAGTCAGCTTAGTATTATACCGATAGTCATGTGTGAATTAAAATGCTAATATTCAAATTCAAGGTAAAGTTTGACAAAACAGGTGAGAAAGGAGGCAAATGTGACTCAATACAAGCAGCTGGGAGTGTTACTACAGTATTTAAGATTTACAGTCCACAGTAACCGCAAAATTCATCAAAGTCATGTCGCCATTCCTCAGAAAAATGAGCGAGCCTGTTGACATCCTGGTCAGTGTTTGCGCAGCTCTTCAGACTGAGTGTGATCACAGTATTAACACATCCTGAGTACGCCTTACATACTCTACCTTGCCACTAGTTTAAAAAGCCCCATGCCACTTGTTTTTAAAGTACCACAGCATTACAGCACAATGTCCTGTGGGAAAAAAAGTAAAAATAACAATACAGCCTACGTTAAAGTATAAAAGGATAAAATGGGGTAAAATGACATCAGGTGAAAGAGAAACGTAGCTACACCTTCTGCTACACTTCAAAGTTCTGTAATAAAATAAAACAGCAGCACAGTGATGAAAATAAATAGGTAAAAAATGTCTGAAAAATCTTTAGCTGCAAGCAGCGATTTCTGTTAAATCATGTGCGGAAAGGTTCAGTGACGAAAGGCTCATGTAGAGAACACCAGGTGAATCACGTGGGGGGAAAAGGCTTCATGTGCACAGTTCAGAGTGATGAACAAATAAAATCTTAAAAAAAAGACTGATATACAAAGATGCAAAAGTAACGAGTGACATTTTGGAAATTCAGAAGGCACCAAATGTAGGAAAGAAAGGCTGAAGAATCACTGTGGAGCTACAGGTGTAAAAATTCATTTCTAAATTACTTGTTTCTTCTAGAGGAGGAAGAATGGAGGAAGAGGCACTAGAAGAGTCACAGTGATGCCATCATGTCACAGGTGTTTTAAAGAAGCTTTGGGTTTTCATCAGGCGCTAATGTGACCACTGAGGCAAACATTTTGAATATGACTATGATCACAGCTCAACATCAGCATGCATCAGAAAGCCCCTAAGACTAAAACATGCTTTAAATGTCTGACCTAATTTGACTTTTAAGAGGTATCACAGTTTCAATGTGTCCATGCTTTGTCAGCAGTGCCTCTATTCAGAGTATCTGGCGGATTTCTGACTAACTAGATGGAAATTTAAAGGGGAACGCCACCTAAATTCAGAATTCCAATATGTTATTTCCATGGCCTTGGAAAGTTTGATCAATATTTGTGGACATGAGCTGCTCTCTCTCAAAGCAAGAAACCACAGAAGTCTCAAACATGTGATGTCATAGGGTATTAGGTCTGGAGCTGCTCCACAGACAACGAATGGGAGCCTGATTTTGAGGACTCACAGTATGTGTGTTTACTTTTTTATAGCCAAACAAGCTTTAATCTACTGTAGTGTTCTCAATTCTGAAACAGAAAATGTACCCATATACTCAGAACATTTCCCCCGCTATTCTCAAGTGTCATCTAGAACATATTTCCCAATTCATTGTCAATGGAGCAGCTCCACACTTCACACCCTCTGAAGTTTGAGTTTTAGCACTTAAACTTCTTGGATTTAGGAGAGAATTGGCGCAATTCCCCTTTGAGTTTGTATCAGCATAGTTTGACGATCATTTTTAATCTAACCTACTTCACAGTGGGCCTGAAACAAGCTCATCTCAGTCTCTGAATTGAATCTAAAATTACACTTGCTGAAGCAACATTCAATTAGCCTTTTTTAAAGGTCTTTGGAATGTCTAACTATTCCTGCTCATGCTCCACAAGTTTCCGTGACCGTGATGTGTAGTTAAAAAAACAAAAAACTAGGGAATGTTCTACATATTGACCCCAAAATGATGAGAGCAAAGCACAAGTAAAAGTGATTTTGGTGTCCGCACTGATGCATGGCTTCTGATGGATACATGCAAACTCAAAACATTTTTTTTAGAAGAATACATCACATGCAAAATGGCCAGCTGTGTATCAGTCACTCACCACCATCTTTTCTGGATTCTCTGTTCACCGTGGAGGCATGTGAGAAACACAAAGTTTCCTCCACAAATTCAACACACGCTGTGAGTAACTGATACACAAATGGTCATTTTGTGGTGAAGTATCCCTTTAAAAAAAGCACGCACATTTACATAAAACTAAAGTTAAAAGGCATTCAAAGTTTTTCATAATCGTTTGACATCAGACGTTTTTGTCATTTCGAGAACTCGTTTGCCAAGTCATCAGTGATTTGAGAGTCAGTGCTGTTCCATCACACACCGCTTCCTTCAGTCTCTGTGCTGCGTCTATTTGAGACGCTGAATTAGTGTGTGCGTCAGTCCTAGGCTGAGCAGCTGAAGGGTGGACAGCTGGGCTAAGTGAGGGAACGTTTTCAGCAGTTTCTCCCAGGTCAGTTCCAGCAGGCTGGGCACCACCAACCACACTTTGTACAAAGAGCCAGTCCGTCTGTTCCCAGACATGTTGACGACACCACCGTGGACGTACATGCAGCCAGCCTGAAGGAGAGAGACAATGCAGATATTAGAGCTTCAACAATTCTGCAAAAATACTTTTTTTTAATGAAAACTCTCAAATATTCTCTAGTTTTAGCTTTGAGGATTTGTGATTCAGTGCAATGTGGATTGGGCAACAGACCAAGGCGGGGGCCTTGGCGGTCCGATCCTCGGTTACAGAAGTTGGCTCTTGGGACATGGAATGTCACCTCTCTGGCGGGGAAGGAGCCGGAGCTTGTGGAAGAGGTTGAGCGCTACCGGCTAGATATAGTCGGCCTCACCTCAACACATAGTTCCGGCTCTGGAACCCTAGTCCTTGAGAGGGGTTGGACTCTCTCCTTCGCTGGAGTTGCTCCGGGTGAGAGGCGGAGGGCCGGGGTGGGCTTTCTGATAGCCCCCAGACTCTTCGCCTGTACGTTGGGGTTTACCCCGGTAGACGAAAGGGTTGCTTCCCTGCGCCTTTGGGTCGGGGAACGGGTCCTGACTGTTGTCTGTGCTTATGCACCGAACAACAGTTCAGAGTACCCACCCTTTTTGGAGTCCCTGGGACGGGTGCTGGACAGTGCCCCGACCGGGGACTCCATTGTTCTGCTGGGGGACTTCAACGCTCACGTGGGCAATGACAGCGGGACCTGGAGGGGTGTGATTGGGAGGAACGGCCTGCCCGATCTGAACCCGAGTGGTGTTCAGTTATTGGACTTCTGTGCGGGTCGCAGTTTGGCCATAACTAACACCATGTTCAAACATAAGGATGTCCATCGGTGCACGTGGCACCAGGACAGCCTAGGTCGCAGGTCAATGATCGACTTTGTAGTTGTATCATTTGACCTGCGGCCATATGTTCTGGACACTCGGGTGAAGAGAGGAGCAGAGCTGTCAACTGATCACCACCTGGTGGTGAGTTGGATCAGATGGTGGGGGAAGACGCCGCGCAGACCTGGCAGGCCCAAACGAACAGTGAGGGTCTGCTGGGAACGCCTGGCGGAAGAACCTGTCCAGATGATCTTCAACTCCCACCTCCGGGAGAGCTTCGACCGCGTCCCGAGGGCAGAGGGGGACATTGAGTCCGAATGGGCCTTGTTCCGCTCTGCCATTGTCGAGGCGGCAGTTGCGAGCTGTGGCCGCAAGGCCGCTGGGGCCAGTCGCGGCGGTAATCCCCGAACCCGCTGGTGGACACCAGAGGTGAGGGGAGCCGTCAGGCTGAAGAAGGAGGCCTACAGGGCATGGTTGGTCTGTGGGTCTCCGGAAGCAGCTGACGGGTACCGGCGGGCCAAGCGGAGCGCAGCGGCGGCAGTCGTTGAGGCAAAAACTCGGGCGTGGGAGGAGTTCGGTGAGGCCATGGAGGAAGATTATCGATCGGCTCCAAAGAGGTTCTGGCAAACCGTCCGGCGCCTCAGGGGGGGAAGGCGGCAACTTGCTCACACTGTTTACAGTGGGGGCGGGGAGCTGCTGACGTCAACTGGGGACATTGTCGGGCGGTGGAAGGAATACTTTGAGGAGCTCCTCAATCCCACCAACACGTATTCCAGTGAGGAAACAGAGACGGGGGTCTCGGGGGCGGGTCGTCCAATTTCTGGGGCAGAAGTTGCTGAGGTAGTGAAACAACTCCGAGGCGGCGGAGCCCCGGGGGTGGATGAGATTCGTCCTGGATATCTCAAGGCTCTGGATGTTGTAGGGCTGTCCTGGCTGACACGCCTCTGCAACATTGCGTGGACATCGGGGGCAGTGCCTCTGGAGTGGCAGACCGGGGTGGTGGTCCCCATTTTCAAGAAAGGGGACCAGAGGGTGTGTTCCAACTACAGGGGGATCACACTCCTCAGCCTACCCGGTAAGGTCTACTCCAGGGTGCTGGAGAAGAGGGTCCGGTCGATAGTTGAACCTCAGATTGAGGAGGAGCAATGTGGTTTTCGTCCCGGACGCGGAACCGTGGACCAGCTCTTTACCCTCGCCAGGGTGCTGGAGGGGGCATGGGAGTTTGCCCAACCAGTCCACATGTGTTTTGTGGATTTGGAGAAGGCTTACGACCGTGTCCCCAGGGGCATCCTGTGGGGGGTGCTCCGGGAGTATGGGGTTGGTGGCCCCTTGCTAAGGGCCATCCAGTCCCTGTACCGAAGGAGCATGAGTCTGGTTCGCGTGGCTGGCAGTAAGTCGGACCTGTTCCCGGTGAGGGTTGGACTCCGCCAGGGCTGCCCTTTGTCACCGGTTCTGTTCATAACTTTTATGGACAGAATTTCTAGGCGCAGCCGAGTGGTGGAGGGTGTCAGGTTCGGTGACGGGAGGATCTCGTCCCTGCTTTTTGCGGATGACGTGGTCCTCCTAGCTCCATCGAACAGTGACCTCCAGCTCTCGCTGGGGCGGTTCGCAGCCGAGTGTGAAGCGGCTGGGATGAGAATCAGCACCTCCAAGTCTGAGGCCATGGTCCTCAGCCGGAAAAGGGTGGATTGCCCACTCCAGGTCAGGGGGGAGGTCCTTCCTCAGGTGGAGGAGTTTAAGTATCTCGGGATCTTGTTCACGAGTGAGGGTAGGATGGAGCGGGAGATTGACAGGCGGATTGGGGCGGCGTCAGCAGTGATGCAGGCGCTTAACCGGTCCGTTGTGGTGAAGAGGGAACTTAGCCAGAAAGCGAAGCTCTCAATTTACCGGTCGATCTACGTTCCAACCCTCACCTATGGTCACGAGCTCTGGGTAGTGACCGAAAGAATGAGATCGCGAGTACAAGCGGCCGAAATGAGTTTCCTCCGCAGGGTGGCTGGGCTCAGCCTTAGGGATAGGGTGAGGAGCTCAGACATCCGGGAGGGACTCGGAGTAGAGCCGCTGCTCCTCCACATCGAGAGGAGCCAGTTGAGGTGGTTCGGGCATCTGGTAAGGATGCCTTCCGGACGCCTCCCTTGGGAGGTGTTTCGGGCATGTCCAACCGGGAGGAGACCTCGGGGCCACCCCAGAACACGCTGGAGGGACTACATCACCCGGCTGGCCTGGGAACGCCTCGGGGTTCCCACGGAAGAGCTGATGGAAGTGGCTGGGGAGAGGACTGTCTGGGCTTCTTTGCTGAGGCTGCTGCCCCCGCGACCCGGACTGGATAAGTGGAGGACGAAGAGTACGATTTGTGATAGATTTTTTTTTCACTATTTTCTGATCTTTTTCAGACTAAACAAGTAATTAGTTAAAGGGAAACTTGTGTATTTTTAACCATGGCCTCATTTTCCCATGTTTGAGTGTCTAAGTGACAAATGGACACTATAGTTTCTAAAACTGGTCCAGTATTGAAGAGACAGCTGCAGCCACAGTGGTGGAAACAGACTGTAATGTAATCCCTACATGCAACTGTGCAGCCTCAATTTACGTCCATTAAAAGTGTTTGTTTTTGCCACTGACAGGCTCAGATTGTTATTGGAAGTGTCCAACGATATTACAGAATTGTTTTTTGTTATTGTGACCAAGTATAGCTCAAGGAGAAGTCTCATATTGAAATCTCACAAGAGTTGACTTGTTGCAGGAGAAACAACAGTGAAAACCTTATACCCTTTTTCCATTGGCACTCTTGGCCGTGCTGACTAAAGTCATGGCACACTGATTTTTGTTTCCATTTTCAGTTTTGATGTGCCGTGCCACACTGAGCCACACCAGAGATGGACCTTCTCAGGAGTAGGTCCATCTGCCCGCCCTTAAGCAGGTAGCAGTGTTGTCTTGTCAACCACAGCCAACCCCGATGACCCCGACAACCCCCACTGGTGCCAGTGTGTTCTCACTGAATAAGCAGAACTTTGTTAGCAGCTTCTCCTCAATAAAAGCAAGTCTTACAATACAGCAGGGAGGAAGAGTAAAATTAGTAACAGCCACAGTGAGATGCTGATGAAGAGTTGCAGACAACAGGCTCTTACTGCACCTCTGCAAACAGCTCACCTCCAATAGGTAAATTTCTTTTACCTGCCCTGCTGTGGAAAAGCCATGGATCCGCTCTCTGCTTTTAAATGTCATCACTCAAGACAAGCCATCATCAGTTTAAGACACACCTTTCAGATGGTAGCCCTGTTGTAATGGAGATGCAAATCCCTGCCATGCTGGGCCGACAGCCCAAGCCAAGCCAAGCTAAGCCAGCCCATGACTGACAAAAAGGGGTATAAGTGAGTGCTGGAGAGAGGAGTGATGGAAGAGTTTGTGTCGGAGTACAGAAAGCGTAGCTTAGTGTTGTCTCAGAGATTTTCAGTGTCATGGCTGAATATTTAGCTGATTTCTACAACATGGAAAAGTCTGCAATATTTCTAAACTAGACCTCTGCTAGAGCGAGACTTGGTTATACACTACTGATCAGTGAAAGGTAAGGAAAAACATTTGGTTTCTCCTTAGGGTCAATTAGTAATGTTGTCAGACACTTCTAACAACAATCTGAGCCTGTCAGTGGCAAAAACAAACCCTTTTAGTTGATGTAAACTGTTGGTGCACATTTGCCCGTAGGGATTATTTTGCAGCCTGATTCGCCGCAGTGGCCGTTTGGACTCTCTCAACACTGGATCAGTTTCAAAAATTGTTGTGTCGATTAGTCACTAAAGGTTAAAAAATACCAAAGTTTCCCTTTCACAGAAAAAATAAATCTGCAGATTACCATGATGAAAATAATGTCTGGTCCAGCCCTACAGTAAACCAAACTGCTGTCCATCTCTGTGTAAATGTCTTTTCTCTCCCAGTGCATAAAAGAAATCTGCTAGCCAAGTTACACCTATGTGTTTGAATGATAAGTGACTAACCGGAGTAACTGCTGCACAGTGAAAGTAAGCTGGTTCTGGCATGGCGGCAGGAAGTTTGGTCCACTGGAAAGTCTGCAAGTTGATCTTCCACAGGTCAGATAGGATCGTCTCACCGTTATATCCTCCACATATAAACACCTCTGGAGGCAGAGACAAAGAGAGACATTGTTAGAACAAACATTTCAGACATGTGTGTCCTGATAGTGCTGTGTGAAACACTTCTTACCATCCTTGACCTGCACACAGCTGTGACAACGGCGGGCAGCAGGATATCCTGTCATGATAATAAAGTAAATTCAGTGTGTGGTGTTCAAATATTTTATTCAACAAAAGAAAAGGTAAACTTGGATCACAAACCTATTTTTTCATGGGGTTTGGTGACTATTTCTTCCCAGTAATTTGTCTCCAAGTTATATGCGTGGATCTGATGAAGACAAACAGTATTATAAATGAAGGAGTTATACACAGTTTATCTGTCATATTTTGTCTTAGTGCTTGTTCCTCTCACCTTGTCCAGAGGATATGACGTCCAGGAGGTCCCACCTCCTAAAATATATATTCTCTGTCCATCGTGAGCTAGTTCATGTCTGTACCTGTAAATTAATGCATTTATGTTCACTCCATTTTAATTAATATTCTGGGAATTCAATATGAGTCACATATACTGTAGATGTTAAAGGGAGAGTTCCCCCAAAAATGAAAAATACATACTTTTTCTATTACCTGTAGTTCTATTCAGCAATCTAGATAGTTTTGGTGTGAGATGATGAGTGTTAGTGATAGGATCAGACCGTTGTCAAGCTGTTGTCAAGAGTTATGAGTTGAGTGTTGGAGATATGGGACTTAGAGATGTGTGCCCTCTCTCAGACATCTCTACAGTCGATATCTCCAACACTTGGCAACTTGCACCAAAACAATCTAGATTGATTAGAATAGTACTAAAAAGGTAAGAGGAAAAATATGTATGTTTGATTTTGGGATGAACTGTCCCTTTAACAGTGCGCCTGCTGTCTAACCTCTCCTCAGGTAGATCTGAGGGTGCGTTGCTGGGTTTGAGGTGGGTCCACTCTCTTGTGGTCAGGTCCAGCCTGTGCAGGTCGGTGCTGTAAAGGTAGCCTGTTGTCCCGCCAAACACATAGAGGTAGCCATTTATGATGACCATCGCCTGGAAATGGAGAATACTTAGGTGATTACTGGTGGAATACACAGCCACATATAACAGTCGAAAAGTAACGAATAAATGATGACACAGAACAACATTAGAGGACTTAAAACATAAATCTGTTACCTGTCCGTAGATCTTGTTGGGTTTCTTCCCTCTACAGTTGAGCAGGTTCCATCGTTTGTACTGAACGTTACAAACATGAACGTCATTGCCGTTGTTTTCACCAAATGGAATCCCAGTGCCACCAAATACAAGCAAGTTGTTGCCATGTAAGACAGCTGAGGGCGAAAGAGGCATGGACACACTCAGTCTCCATAAATGTTCAATATCTTATTCAAAATCCCAAATAAGGTTGGTTAAAGTCTACACACGGGACTATTTCACTCCCTCAATATTTAAGTTGGGGTTTGTCATCCTGCATCATCAGAACCCACGTGGGGAAATGAATTCTGGTGACTGACAGAAGTTAATGCAGCAGCACTTTAATGCCTCTAAAGTGTTTTTATTTATGTTCTTTGGTTTCACAAAGAGCTCATAAAAAAATAATTGATAGTAAGCGCTATCAGTGGGATATGGCTAGACTGCAAATTAACTGCATGTTATGAATAATGACTAAAAGAAGGCGTCTTGTACAGTAATGATTCGGGTCTACATACTGTGGGATCACTCTCTTTTTAATGGACTTAATGAACAGACAAAATACACAGAGTCGGACACAATGATGGCAGCTTTTTAAATCAGAGAAAAACCCCTCACTGACGTGCATATGTGTCACCATGGTTATATGTATGCATTAGGTTATTGTAAATTCATGGCATTTATCAGGATCAATCACAAGATCTTGGACAGATTTCAGAATCAGCAGATGGATTTATTATTGGTTTAGCTGCTGAAATCATGCTAAAATAACATCTGCTATCATTAAGTCCTGTGGTTGGTTTGTTTTCTTTCACCCCACAAACAAACTGCACCAGAGTCCATTTGGAAGCGGACAGAGACCCACCATTTTGAGCGGTTTTGGTTCGGCTGTTTGGTCTGCACCAAGGTTCAATTGACAGCTTTCACACCAGCCCAAATGAACCGTACTAACTGCGCAAATGGACCTGAGTTCGTTTAAACCAAACCAAGCACCCAAAGTCTATAACACACATTGTAAAAAGGTAGAAATGAGCCACTGACAACGTATGGGGATCACATTTAACATTGAAAAAAAGGTTTTGCAAATGTTTCATGGCGTAGAAGTGTTTTTTTCTTTCAGCCATAACTTCAGTCTCACTCATCAGAACCAACTGAGACAGTGTGTGTTTGACTTTAAGTCACTGAAAAAATCAGGCTCCTGCAGAGAGCTGACTGTAATCTGGTTACTGCAGTGCATGTAAGCGCACTGATTGTTTGCAGAGTGTCAACAGCTTACACAGAGGGTATTAAAGCTGTTCTGTGGAGTCTTCTTGTCAACAAGCAAAGTCTCTGTTTACAATCAGTGTTACTCAATACAACTCACTGTGCGGACCTTCAGCTCTAATAACCACGCTGAATAATTGGCTTCATCATAAAACATTTGAAAAGCAGAAGTTTGAAAGCAGCATTGTTTACATATTAGGCATTGGCAGTATTCTTCTTCTCTGCCTTTGTTGGTGCATTGCAGTGTTTCTTGGTGCATCACTTGGCAGGAATGTCATAAATTTTGTTGCCCCGTAAACCTATTAGGGATCAAAAACTCCATAGTTTACCCTCAAATAAGACCAGCAGGTGGGTGCAAAATGAAGGGCAGCACATCAATCCTTACCTGACATGGAGGCCAGCTCTGTGGGCATGTAACCCTCTGGGCGAACCTGCTGCCAGGTGGCTGTGGCAAAATGGAACCGCCAAAGCTCCCTGAAGAGAGGGTAGTCTTCATTCTCTGACCCGCCTGCCTCCTCAAAGTCTGGGTTGTAGCCTCCAAACACGTACAGGTTGGTGCTGTCTGCAACACAGCGGTGGCCGCTACGGGCAGGAGGTACACAGTGTCCTGTGGGAGGAACAGGTTCAAGACAGGCAGAACGTGGGAGCTCCTGATGTAGATGGAAATGAGATGGTGTAATGAAAGAACATCTTAAAGCATAAATATCAGATGACACACGTGCATCTAACACTCATGCATTTAACAGGAGCGGGATCACTCAGTCACTGTCTGTTATCTTTCTCCTTCTCTGAGGTAAAACATTGTGATGGGGAGCTCATGTACTTTCAGTACCTTCTCTCAGAAACCTGTTGGGGATCCGCAGGTTGGGGCAGGAAGGGGAGAAGATGCGCCGAGCCTGAAGCCACCGTGCCCGCTTCTTGGAGCCTGTCAATCGGTCACCATACAAGAGGAGAAAAGACAGAAAGACAGAGATACGTACTGTCAATGTACTGCCTATTTGTCAGAGGCTGGACTAATGATGCTACTGAAATAGCACTGAAATTCTTGGGGTGGCACACCAAAACCAAAAGCCAGTACTGAATTTCAGGAATTCTCTTATGCTGTTGAACTATATTGTCCATTTAAAAACGATGTCAATATGAAGAGTAAAGGAATTGCATACTGGTATACTTTGGTTTTTTTATTTTACAGTTAATGTCACTAATTATCTGATGTGCATTGACTAATACCAGCACAGGTAACACTTTAAGTTGTACAGAAATCCTGTTTTGATGTGGATCAAAATGGCTGTTTGTCCTTTTTCTTAAAAAAGACAAATATACAGAATTAATTTAAAGGAGCACATTGATTGTAAGACACAAAACATTTACTGGGAACAGGCCTTCTCAAGTATAGGGGAGACTTGTTGGTACCCACAGAACCTGTTTTCAATCAGATATCTTGAGGCTGAGAGTTCAAGGGACCCCTTCCCCCTTCTTTTTCTTGCCTGTGCCCTTGTGTATCACAAGGAAAATATATAAAAAGGAACAGTCACAGCGACAGTGACAGTGTTCGAAGAGCCAGACTTTTGCGTCAGTTCTATTGGAGTCAGTGGAACAGGCACTGCAACCTACACTTTAGTCCATCATATCTTTGTCTTTATCTTTCCAGATTAAAAAACACACATCACGTAATGCTTTCTGATGTTTTTTTTTTTTTATCTGAATAAATGCATTTGTTTTCCATGTTAGTGGTCTGCAAACAGATCATGGCTATATCCAGCAGAGGCAGAGATGCAGCTGCTACACAGAACACATTTAAAAACGTCAGTAAGCATCAGGTAATGTGGGTTTTTTGATGTGGTATAAGGATTTTCTCATCAAAGTTGAAACAACAAAGATATGATGGGTTAAAGTGTCAGTTTTATTGACTCCAATGGAACTAACACCAAAGTCTGGCTTCTTGAATGCCGTCACTGTCATTGTGACGGTTCCTTATTTTAGATTTTCCTTGGTGTATCGGTCTGTAAGTGTCTCTTTCACTGTGGCTGGTGCTCTGCTGCTCCATCAGAGCCCAGAGTACTCCCGCACTCTGAGAGTGTGGAGCAATTAATAACCAAACAATCTAATAATGGCCTAGCTTCACAAATAGACACAAAGTGACGATGTTTATTTGATTTGTGGCGGGCGGCCACAAAACTCTGGAGTTATTTAGCCTGCTTCTCAACAGACTATGACGACATGGTGGGTACCAATGGATGCCTTAGGTTGTCTTGTTTTACAGGGAACAACTACCGTCATGTTGGCTTAAAAGAAAGAGCCAAAACCCCTTTAAAGATAGTAATATTGACCTGCAAGAGGGGAACCATGCCCCTCAAACCCACCCTTGGGAGCTCCACTGTAGAAAACTGACTCATTTTTGAGAGTCTCTGGTTAAAATGTTTATCATCAGAGCTAATAGACTAGATACAATAATGAGTGGCGCTCTGGGAGTCAAAACTGTTTTTATATATATTTTCAATCTTTTAATTTAGCTTATAGTTAATGGTTATGACATGTAATGTTTGTATTGGCACACATTGTTGAGTTGAAGGCTGTCAGACACATCAAACATGCAGAGATTTACTTTTATAAACTTACTTTTGTCTGTAAGAGATGAATATCTAATAGTATCAGTGAGGTAAGGCTAATGGTAACCGTTGAGCTCTGTGTTATCAGCAGTGTCCCCTCCAGGAAGCTAAAGCTTGTCTCCCTCTCTCTTTCTATCAGTCTGCCATATTTAAATCCCCAGTAAATGATATAACTATTACAGTAGCTCTGTATACCTGCTGGGTGTTCATTCACCCATTAATTTCTGCGGGCTTCCGTAGCAGCGTTAGCTAGCTGTGGCCTGTGTGCTGCAGCGGTTCACACCACATCGCTAACTCTGAGACAAACCTCACACAGCTGAGTCACAAAGACACAAATAAACGATGACTAATGTTAGCTAGATTAATCTTCAGCTTCACTGTTTGCTCTGCTGACTGTACCGGGCTGCCTGTCCCTGCAGAGCACTGGGTTTTGTTTACAGACCTGAGTCGCGGATCGAGGGCCTCCACGACAGCTTCTCAAACTTATTGAGCTGGCTGAAGGTTCCGTCATATTCGGCCGACGACATCTCGAGAGGGAGCCGCACAGACAGGGTTCACACCCGGACCTGGACCTGGACCGAAACCCGCTGCAGTTCAACCACACGAAGTGGCATGAGCCCGCGAGCTGCAGCAGTCACACCAAAATAAAGAAATAAGCCAACCGTCCCCACCTGCTGCTGCCCGCGACGTCACAGCCAGCTGGCCTCAACTGACCAATCAGAGGAGGAGGGGCTGCATGTTGCGTTCAAGTGTCACATGCTGATGTTTACATGCTTAAAACACTGCAGTGGCCCTACATGTTTGGTTTTTAATTGAAAATTAATTCTTTTTTACACAAAACAAGGCATAGAGTCCACAAGAAGAACACTGTATTTCAAGGCACGTTAGGTAAGAAGGATAAATAATTAAAAACAAAAAAAAAATGTGGTATTCATGGACAGGATCTTAAGGTGCAGCCAGGGGGAGGAAGGAGTCCAGTTTGGGGACCTCAGAATTGCATCTCTGCTTTTTGCAGATAATGTGGTTCCGTTGGCTTCATCACACCGTGACCTCCAGCAGGCACTGGGGTGGTTTGCAGCTGAGTGTGAAGCGGTTGGGATGAGAGTCAGCGCCTTCAAATCTGAGGCCATAGTTCTCTGCCATAAACTGGTGGATTACTCCCTCCGGGTTACTGTCTCAAGCGAGGGAGTTCAAGTATCTAATATCTATCAGTTGTTTACGAGTGAGGGTAGAGTGGAGTGTGAGATGGATCAGCATTTTGGTGCAGCTTCTGTAGTGATGCAGGTGATGAAGAGGGAGCTGAGCTGGAAGGCAAAGCTTTACTGGTCTACCTACGTCCCAACCCTCACCTTTGGTCGTGAGATCTGGGTAGTGACCGAAAGAATGAGGTCGCAGATACAAGCAGCCGAAATGATTTTCCTCCGTGGGGTGTCTGGGCTCAGCCTTAGAGACAGGGTAAGGAGCTCGGACATCCGGAGGGAGCTTGGAGTAAAGCCCCTGCTCCTTTGCATAGAGAAGGGTCAGTTGAGGTGGTTCGGGCATCTGATCAGGATGCCTCCTGGGTGCCTTCCGTTATAGGTGTTCCTGGCATGTCTCGCTTGTAGGAGGCCCCAGGACAGACCCAGAACATGCTGGAGGGATTACATATCCCATCTGGCCTGGGAACGCCTTGGGGTCCCCCAGGAGGAGCTGGAAAGAGTTGCTGAGGTGTCTGGGGTGCTTTGCTCGGCCTGCTGCCCCCGCAACCCAGCTTCGGATAAGCCGATGAAAATGGATGAATGGATATTATCTTTACAATCTAATAAGACAAACAAATGTTCTTAAGTGAGAAGCTTGAATCACTGGAATAAAATTGACCTAAACAGTTGATTACCTTTATGTCTGTCTTCTGTCAAATTTCTAACTATACCTGCTATTGTTAAACATGGTATTCACAAGATGTCAGGTTTTTCCTTTACTTAAACAACCCTAATGTGAAAAATAGGGATCAAAGCAATGTGTTGTTTCATGAAAAGCCTTGATATTGTCTCTAAGTTAGGATAGCACCTTTCAGTTTCAGAACCTTTCTTAATGTGATCTGTCTACTTCACTTATGTTTAACACTATAGCCTTAAGTCAAGATATTTACACTCTCAAACAAAATGTTTAAAGGTGTATTATATAACCTGCCAACAGACATAAAAATCTGCTTATTTCAGTGCTTGTGTAATATAAACCAGATTTACATTACAGCTCAGATGATGAACAACTGTTAGGTTACTTTGAGAGGAACAAGTGTTTAGAGTGACTCCTTTTGATCAACTGAGCCAAGAGTTCACCTTTCCCCCAGATCTTCTGGGGCTGCTCTGCTGACATGTGGTAATCTGGATCTGAAGCTCGCTGGGATAGGCTGAAGGAGCAAAACAGATCGATCCCATGAGAAGCTGCTGTATGGGTATTTCTGCATAGACTGAGTGAAAAATTAAGTGTAGTTGGGTACCGTATTCAAGTGTTTTAACAGTGACAATCACAGAGTGGATGATGATCATGAAAAGATTGGATCAAACACACTCTTTTGTTTGTCGTTTCAGTGTTGTTTCCCTGCAGTTCACACTCTAAACATTACACTAGAAACATCCACAGCAGGGGTGTTTTTGCTATGTGCATGCAATCATGTTAATGTTTAACATTGCTGCGTGTCTAGACCCTATAGTTGTTACGTATTAATGTGCTTTTTAATTGCACTCCTAACCTGTTTCTACTGAGGCAGCTGCCCACAATGCACCAATTAATCAAATCAAGCCTGTGATTAAACTTCTAATGTGTCTCGTAAAATTCACCTGAAACGCAGATCCAAGGCACACCCAAAATAAATTGTAGTACATGTACATGCATGGCCTCATTTGAAAGGTAACACTATGAAGTTTTGGCTGTGAACGGTCAGAATCACTGTAAGTGTTTCTGTCAATGAGTTATATACGTTTCAACACACTGAAATAAAAGGTTTGTTTTTTTTATCTTCCCCTGAATATTTTCTTGAAAGAAGATGCTGCAAATGACTATGACTGGTATTAACTGGAAAACACAAATGGGCCTTATCATGAAGCCTCACCTAGTACAAATTTAAAGAAGATAACAATGTCACAGAAAGTAAACATTCTACATGTGTTTTAAGAAGGCAAAACAATGTGCTGAATGTGAGTGAAAAGTAAATCAGCACAGACAGAAATGTTTATTTAGGAGTTTACTGTATATACAAACACTTCTAAAAACACCTAAATTGATTAGAAAGACATTTCCCTCCCTTAAGACAACATAGGAGCCATTTGTTTTCATTTATGTACATTTTCAACAGTCTATGGTGCCTGAAAGGAGTCCCCCCACCCCCACAAAGTTTTAAATATGCTCCAAATGTCTCCCTCAACCCCCTCACCCTGCCATATGTGTGGCGGGCAACCACAAACCACTGTCCAAAATGATCGTTAGCAAATGTAATCATACTCATAAAGAAACAAATGATAATTATTACCCAGTGATGGCAGTGTTGGCAGCCGGAATCGGGCCAGCTGATTTGGCCCGATTCTGGGGCTTCATTCATACTGAGTCTCAGCCAAGTCAGGCAACCGGATGTGGCCTGGCTAACTTCATCCGGTATGCCGAGTTTGAGCCGATGCTAGGCCAGGTCATTTCTGATAAAAGCCCAGTGATGGCAGTGTCAGCAGCCGGAATCAGGCCAACTGATTTGGCCTGATTCTGGGGCGTCATTCATCCTGAGTCAGGCAACCGGACCTGGCCCGGCTAATTTCATCCGGCATGCCGAGTTTTGGCCAGTGGTAGGCCAGGTCATTTTGGCTACCTGGGTATTACCACCAGTTCTAGTATCATGGGGTGCTGCACTTCTGCATGTACTTTGTCCAAGAATGTTGCCGTACCCCTGCAGAACACAACACACATGCGTATTCAACTAATGTTAATTAGTTGAATACGCAATAATTTAATTATGTTATATTTGTCAGGTAGCTCACGTGGTGAAGTCTGAGTAAAGTGTCAATCCTTAATGTAGTGCTGCATGTGTCATTTATGCAGAGACAGTAGTAGCTTTCATTTATTGCATGTTTGTATATTATACTGTGAAGCTGTAAGTACTTATGATGAATAATATAATATAGTAGGAAATTAGTTTTCATATTTGGGTTTGCCCCCCTCCCCCCAATTTTGACTCAAATGCTACGGCCTTGAATCAACTTGTCAATGCCTGAGATCCATGGTGTTCATGTTCTTTCACAAGTTTCCCTCTGATTTGAAACTTCACTTTCTCAGGTGGTAAAAAGAAGTTTACACAGGGCATTTGTCAGAAGAAAGAATCTCAGCCTCAGATTATCAGTTAATGTAACAATAGTGACTGTCACTGACAGTAAGTAAGAAATTCCCGAACAATGAGCTGCTGCTGGTTAATGAGATTAAACAGGAGATGAGTTGACAACTTTCATTCCAGTGACCTACTCACAGAGTCATGGAGGTCATTGCTTGATACCATCTCCTCCTAAGTGATAAGTCTGACTGGGAGATGCACTACTTTCATGATTTCTGTTTGTTTATGCTTGAAGAGATTCAAATAGACAACCAAATTACTCTAAATGACATTTAAATCTGCCATGTAAAATAGGCAAAACTAAGAATTGTTTTGTAGTAACCTGCAAACATGGAGGACCAACAGACATCGTCTGGCATGATGGATCTGACTTGAACTGAAGTGTATTGCTGTGACATCTCATTCTGAAACCTCATATCTCTGTGATCTGGCCTGGGGTGAGCAATGTGGTGCATAGACGCTAACAAGGATGACATCATTTTAGATCCACTTTGCCCTAAATACACAAACACAGAGGCACACACACTCAAATCTAAATATCTGCAGCATTTGACAGAAAGTAGTGACAGCTCTGGTGATTCAGATGAAAAGCAGCTGGTGTGTGCCACATTGTCAAGTAATGACAGGCAACTCATACCAAGCCAAGCAATGGGTTTACATTTGTTATGTGGTCAGACATTTAGTTTTACTGAGGGGTATTCCAGGTAGGAGGTTCAACAAACTCTGAGTCTAACCCTGAACTCTGAGTTGATTTACCCTGAGATGGGAAACTCTGAGTATCCGGTTCCAGAACAGCTGATCTGAGTTAGTTCAGTCAACTCTGAGTATGTTCACTCTGAGTTAAACCGACAATAAAAAGCCATCATCAATGGAGCTCCGACTCCACGATTCACCATGGCAACAGGTAAATAAAAGACAGCGCCTCCATTTTAATCCAGTGGAAGTAGAAATATTAATGCATGTGTAGCAGATGGTGCACGTTTATCTTTAAAAGAAGAGCCTGAGTCAGAGCGAGGAAAGTGCAAATAAGTTAACCATAAAGTTAATAAAAAAGTTTTATTCAGTGTTGTCCATTTATTCATCATTTATCAGACTTACATTTCCTTAATGAAGATAAAGTGGTGGAATCTGACTGTGTATCAGGCTGTAGATACATCAGGCTACATTATATTAATTATATACAATAATATATTTGTTCAGATTTAATCTAATGGGGAAAAACACAGGAGACAGCAACTGAAAAATAGGAAGATTTAAAACATATAGGCTAGGCTATAGATCAAAGACATAAAGACATGACTGTAAACTCACAGTCTGACCCAGTA